TTCAAGGACGTGGGAAGGAGTGTGGTGAGAAGATGAAGGGAGGAGGGAAAGTGTGATGAGGGAGATAAAGGGAGGAGGGAAAGTGTGATGAGAAGATGAAGGAGGGAAAGTGTGATGAGGGAGGGGAGGAGGAAGTGTGATGAGGGGATGTGATGAAAGATAAGGGAGGAGGGAAAGTGTGATGATGAGAAATGAAAGAGAGAAGGAAAGTGTGATGAGGGAGATAAAGGGAGGAGGGAAAGTGTGATGAGAAGATAAAGGGAGGAGGGAAAGTGTGATGAGGGAGATAAAGAGGGAAGGAGAGTGTGATGATGAGAAATGAAAGAGAGAAGGAAAGTGTGATGAGGGAGATAAAGAGGAAAGAGTGTGATTATGAGAAATGAAAGGGAGAAGGAAAGTGTGATGAGGGAGATAAAGAGGGAAGGAGAGTGTGATGATGAGAAATGAAAGGGAGGAGGGAAAGTGTGATGAGATGATGAAGGAGGGAGGAAAGTGTGATGATGAGAAATGAAAGGGAGGAAGGAAAGTGTGATGAGTGAGATAAAGAGGGAAGGAGAGTGTGATGATGAGAAATGAAAGAGAGAAGGAAAGAGTGATGGGAGATTAAGGAGGGAGGGAAAGTGTGATGATGAGAAATGAAAGAGAGAAGGAAAGTGTTATGAGAAGATAGAGAAGGAGGGAAAGTGTGATGAGAAATGAAAGAGAGAAGGAAAGAGTGATGAGAGATTAAGGAGGGAAGGAAAGTGTGATGAGAAGATAGAGAGGGAGGGAAAGTGTGATGATGAGAAATGAATGAGAATAGGAGAGTGATGAGAAATGAAAGAGAGAAAGAAAGAGAGATGAGAGGATAAAGATAGGAGGAAAGTGTGATGAGTGATTAAAGAGGATGGAGAATGTGATAAACTGAATGAAAGTGTAATGAGGAGATTAAGGAGAGAGGAAATTGTGATGATGAGAAGATAAAGAGGGAACGAAAGTGGGATGAATGAAAGAGAGAAAGAAAGTGTGATGAGAGATTAAGGAAGAAAGGAAAGGATAATGAGGAGATATGAAAGGGAGAAGGAAAGTGTGATGAAAAAAGAGAAATAAAAAAAGGAAACAAAGTTGGGGAAGAGAAAGAATAGGTAAAGGGAAGACATAGAGAAAGGACGAGAGGAAGAGAAAGGGAGGAATGAAGGTAGAGAAAAAAGGGACAGGAAGTAAAAAGGAAGGGAGGTAAAGAAAACAGAGAAAGAAGAAAAGACAAAGAAGATGGAGGAAGAGAGAAGAGAAGAAGAAGGAGGAAGAAAGAAGAGAAAAAGAAGAATGAGGAAGAAAGAAGAGAAGAAGAAGGGGTAAGAAAGAAGAGAAAAAAGAAGGAGGAAGAGAGAAGAAAAGGAGAAAGAAAAGAGGACAGACGCTAAAGAAAAAAATAGTCAAAAAGGACAATGAAATCACGCCAGCCTCCCCTCCCCCTTCCCTCCACCCCCCCCCTACTCCTCCTCCACCACCCCTCCTCCTCCTCCACCCCCTCCTCCTCCACACCTACTCCTCCTCCTCCCCCCCCTCCTCCCCCCCCCTACTCCTCCTCCCTCCTCCACCCCTCCCTCCCCCTTCCTCTCCACCCCACCCCTACTCCTCCTCCTCCTCCCCCCTCCTCCACCCCTCCCCTTCCCCTCCTCCTCCCTCCCCTACTCCTCCCCTCCCCTCCACCCCCACTCCTCCTCCACCCTCCCCCGCCCCCTCCTCCTCTACCCCTGCCCTGCTAGGAAAGGATAACGCATTCCCGCATAACAAACTCTAATTGGGTTAATGACCTGTTTTAAACCGAGGTCAAATTTCCCCTGACCTTTGCCGCAACGTGGCACAGAGCCAAGATGGGGGGTGGGGTTGGGTGAGGGAGAAGGAAGGAGGGGAGGAGGAAGAGAGAGGAGGGAAGGGTGAGGGAGAAGGAGGAAGAGAGGGGGAAGGGGGAAGAGAGAGGAGGAAGAGAGGGGAGAAGGAGGAAGGGAGAAGGAAGAGAGGGGGAGAGGAGGAAGGGAAAGAGGAATGGAGGAGGAAGAGAGAGGAGGAAGAGAGGGAAGAAGGAGAGAAGGAGAAGGAGAGAAGGAGGAGAGGAGGAAGGGGAAGAGAAATGGAGGAGGAAGAGACGGGGCAAGGGGAAAGGAAGGAAGATGGGAGGAGGAAGAGAGGGGAAGAAGGAAGGAAGGAGGAAAGGAGGAATGGAGTGAGGGTGTGAGGGAAAGGAATGGAAAGGATGAAGTAAAGAAAATAAGAGGAACGGAGGATAGGAAGAAATTGAATAAGATAAGGAGATAAGGAGGAGGAAGGAAGAAGAGAGAAAGATAGAAGAGAAAAGAAAAAGACAGATTGAGACAGAGGGAGAAAAAGAAAGAGATAGAGAGAGAGAGAGACAGACAAAGAGAGACAAAGACAGACAGACAGAAACAGACAGTAAAAAGAAGGAAGAGGAGGAAGAGAAGGAAGAGAAGGAAGAGGAGGAAAAGGAGAAGAGAAGGAA